CTTTCCCCCCCCCCCCCTCTCTCTCTCTCTCTCTCCTTGTGTCTGTCTGTCTGTCTGCGAGTGTCACTGACGTGAAGGAGAAAGGCCCCAACAGCTGCGTGAACCGCTGGCTCATCAAGTCGAGCAGGTCCCTGGCCTTGTTCGTCCACTCCACACCCTTCGCACCAACACCACCCGACACGTCCATCCCCTCCCCATCTAACCCGCCCAAAGCATCAGCGACAGCGGCAGCAGCGGGTGCCATTGCCACTTCATGATCCTCCTTGGTGCGCTTGCCGCCGCGCATGGACGAGGCCGAGCTGGAAGGGCCGCTGAGGGAGAGGGGGGCGAGGGCGGCCGCCTGCTCGTCACCTTCCAGCGGCTGACGGCCAAGCCACTCCCTCTCGTACCTGAGATGATGTGAGATGACATGAGATGAGATGAGATGAATGAGCGACATGTGTCACCTTCTGATCATGTCAGTAGTGGGCGGGCCCTTCTTGCTGGCCGTGGGCTGCAGCGCGGGGATGAGCGGTGGGAGGGACGGTAGCGGGAGACACCGCGGCCACCCCACACCGAACAACAGCCGGTACACCTCCGTGGCGTAGAAGACACGCCTCTCACCCACACAGATGGGCTGCAGCCCATCGTGGCACAGGAAGTGCCACAGCAGGTCCGCACACGCCCTTGCGGCCGGCCCCGCGCCACCGTCCTTCTGCTCCCGCTCAGGTGTGGCCTCTCGGATGGCCGACACAACGACGCTCATCCCAAAGTCGCATGCGACGGACGTCAGGACATCCAGCAGCGCCTTCCAGCCATAGACCAGCAGATGGACGCCCTCCCTCGTGTGGTCCACCACCTTGTCGAGGGACATGGTGAAGGCGACGGCCGCGAGTACGCCGATGCCTCTCTCCCTCACCTCCGCCCCTTCGCGGACGCTCAGCCACCGACACACAGGGTGGAAATGGGTCGTCGATCGGTCGCTGTGGAAGAGGGGGGGCATCAGGTGGTCGGGAATGGACTTCCTGATGTCCTCACGCACCGACGGCAGCACAGGTGGCAGCCACGCCCCCGTGCAGGCGCCCCGCAGGACGCCCTCGGTCGCCGCCTGGATGGGGGCGAGAGTGGCCGGCCAGTTGTTGCGAGCCGCCTCTCTCCCCTGCTGCTCGCCATAGCTGAGCGGCAACACAACTCGATTGGCGCCTCTCTGGTGTTGCTGCGGGTGGTGGTGGTGAGGGTGGTGTAAGTCACGGAAGAAAGAGTGATGCCCCGCTCCCTGCTGGTGCTGTTGCCGTTGCTGGCTGCCTGTCCTCGGCTTGATGGCAGCCGAACTCTCCTCTCTGCCGCTGTTGCTCCTTGACGAAGGCCAAGATCCTCGCTGGGGGAGGGGCGGGGGAGGGTACCACGCCACGTCGTCACCACCAGGGCCAGGGCCACGGTGGTGGGCCCCCGGTCGTTTGGCTGGCAGACGCCTTCGCGGCTGTGCAGGCGAGCCGAAGAGAGGTGTCATGCTCACGTGTGGGGCCGGGGGAGGGGGAGGGGGAGGGGGAGGGGCCTGGCGATCGCCGTGGCGTGTTGGGATTGGGGTGGTGGCGGTTGAGAGGGGCAGGAACGCGAGGGGGTTGAAGGAGAGGTGCATGTGGGCGTAGTGGCGGAACCGGGGGTGGGTGGTGAACAGGCGGATGGCCGCCGCACTCACCAGCTGCACATTTATGACACACACACACACCCCAACCGACCCATTGAGGGATGGATGGATGGATGTCACCCAGACTCTTCTGCTCTCCTGCCTGTTCGAGTACCTGCCGTGTGGAGGGGCACTCGAAGTCGAATCGCATCCTCCGCCCCACCACCTCAGCGAGCCTCTCGAAGTCAGACAACCCCTCCACCCACCCCAGCCACTCCTCCCCCCGGCACCTCTCTCCTCTCATCATCCGGCCGCCCTGCGCATACGGCCCCCTGTGCACCTGCATCGACGGCGACGCGGCCGAGAGCGAGTGGGGGTCCCTGCGCGGGGTGAGGGTGAGTGGCGATGGTGGCCCGGTGTTGTGATGTCTGTGTGGCGTGTGTGGGTGGTCGCTGTCTGGGGGGAGGTCGTCTTCGTCTTCTCGCAGCAGCTGTGAGGCGCTTCTCTCTATGGAGAGGTTTGGCAGGTCCTGGTTGCCGTACTCGCGCATGTCGAAGCGGAGCGTGGCGAGGCTGTCGATGGCGTTGGCCAGGTAGTGGGCGTCGGTATACTGCACCCACAACACGCATGGCGCATACGGATGGATGGATGGATGGCGGTGTGCGCATACCAACCAGTGTGTGCGAGTTGTGTGTGATGCGGTTGAGGCTGTTGTCGTTCTCCAGCAGCACTCGCGTCAGGATCTCCAGGCCCTCTTGACGGCTCCTGATTCACCGGATTACACATACACACTCATCAGGACAGGCGGCACAACACAACACGTCCTACAGCCCTGTCTGTCGTCTCACTTTCGGCTGTTCTGCGGCTCCAACAGCCGGGCGATCGCCTTCAGCAGCCCTTGCAGAAACAGATACTCGCTTACGACCCTGCACCCACCCACCCAGGCACCGCACCGACCGGAGTGCGTTGTGCGTCGTTCGTGTACGTGACGCCCCATACCCACCGCACCCACCCACCCACCTGAATCTGTTGGGCTTCAGGAACTCCATCACTCGGCCGTCCTCGCTCTCCCTCTACACACACACACACACTCACACACACCCCTCCCACATGCACCCCACACCTCACATGGACGGACACTGACTGACCTGGTTGGCCCCCACATGGACAGCCACGGCGACTCTTCCCCGCTGCGTGTGGGAGGGCAGCCTCTTGCGATCCGTGGCCACGCCGTGCACATAGTTGTGGCGGAAGTAGTCGATCAGCGCCTGGGACGCCTCGGGGTTGTACGTCGACAGAGACAGAGTCGCCAACGCGTGGGCCGCCGCTGACCTGACCGAAACGGACCGAACCGATGCATGACGCATCGCACACGCACCCACAAAGCTGATGGGGTTGGATGGGCTGGGGTGGGCTGGGATCGTCACTTGCCTGACAGTCCAGTGGAATCCGACTCTGAGGATGGCCTGTGCGAGGACCTTGACGGCCTCCCTGTCGGCGGCGACGCGCTCGTCGGTGTCGAAGTGGGTGAGGGCGGCGATGGCCTCCAGCTGGCCGGTCACCGACGAGCCGTAGAACAGCTGGTGCAGCCACATGCTGGCAGACTGACAACGAACGAACCTGAGAGGGGAAGGAGAGAGAGGGACGGACGGAGGGAGGGAGAGAGACGATTGCGTGTGGGGTGGGTGTTTGCGGTGAGAAAAAGATGGTTGCGTTGCGTTGGCTGCTTACTTTGCGGGCCAGTCACCCTCCTGGTCCACGCCGATCCACAGCAGCGGGAGCCGGTAGTTGACGCCCTTCATGGCCCAGGTGGAGCCTATTTCATAGCACCCCTCGTCGGCAACACTCCTGGTCCGCTTAAAGGAACCCCCCGTGACCCGACCCTTGACCTCTTTAGTCTCCACGGCTCTCCTGCCGATCTCTATCGGCTGCAAGTGGGGAATCCCGTCGTCGTCCACGATCGTCAGCGCCAGCTCGCCAGTGAACAGCGCCCCTCTGTCAAGAGCGTCCTGGGCCTCTTTCGGGCTCATGTCGGCCCAGGGGACCACCTCTCGGTCGGGGAGAAAGGCGTCCATCTGCTTCTCCCTCTCCCGCTCAGCCCAGGTCTCGACGAGGTAATCGCAGAAGGGCCCCTTGCCCACCAACTCGCTGGCTCGATCGGTTTTGTCCTCTCTCGCCCCGCCGTAGCCAAACCCCAGGCCGCCCCAGTACTGGGCCGCCTTGACGCGCTGGTCGTTGTCGCCTCTTTTCACCTTCTTGATGACCAGGCAGACCGGATCGTACGCGAGCGGCCCTCTGGTGGTGGTGGTGGTGGCGGGCTTGTTGTGTGTTTTGTGTGCTTCCGCCTGGGGTGTGGGTGATGGGCAGAGGAGGCCGAGGGTGTTGCTGCTAGTGTGGTGTGGCTGGGTGTTGCGTTGGGAGATGAAGAACTTGTACTTGCGCTGGGGGTCCTTGAGGGACTTTGGCTTGACGGGGAAGTACCACAACAGGTGGATCACGGGCGCACCTGACACACACACATGACAAAGCACAGCACAGCACAGCACAGCACACAGGGAGTCATAGACAGACAGACAGACAGACGGTCATGTGTGTGTGTGTGTGTGTGTGTGTGTGCACCGGTTCCGAATATCCATCGCTGGATGAAAGGCACAAAGTGCTCATCCTTCCCGGCGGCGTTCTGAAGCTGAACCAACCAGCCCACCCAGACAAACACACACAAAGTCCAGCTGCCCTCCTCTCCCCTCTCCCCTCTCTCCTCTGCCCTCTCTCGCCACAGCCCATGTCAGCTGACCTTGTCCATGACGCCGCGCCCGTCGAGCTCCCTGCTGCCCTCTCTCGCCTCGTCCAGAACCTTGCGTAGCACGCCCGACACGCCCTCATCGCCCACCATCCGACAGAGCGCGTGAAAGACCAACACCGACTTGACGCGCAGGAACGAGGAGAACAGGAAAGAACTGCATGCAGCCCACACGGAGGGACGAAAGACAGACAGACAGACAGAGGGGTCGTGTTTCTGTGTGGGGGTCTAGAGGGGGGAGGGGGTTGCACACGTGAAGCTGGTGTGGTGAGGGCTTGCGAGTGGCCGTTCGTCTCGCCCCTGCTGGATGTATCGGTGCAGCCGCTCCACCAGCCGCCACATGCGCACCTTGGCCTCGTTCCGCCCGCCACCCAAACCAGCGGCATCCTGGGAGAAGGGCGCGATCGACGCGTCCTGCACATACACACACACATACATACCCACACACGCACCGATCGCATTGCTTTAATGCATCAATTGACGGGTGTGTTGGGTACTTACTTGGTCTGCGATGCTTGTTTTGAACCAGAGGATGGCCATGTACTGCACCAGGCCGGCCAGGAGCCACCAGCTCTCGTTGGCCTCGGTCGTGGCGGACCGGGGCGTCAGCGGCACATACAGAAAGGTACCGAAATACACTGACGCAAGACCCTGCACACACGAAAAGACACACATCCAGGCACTTCCCCCTCACGCCCCCACCCTTGAGTCCCTCACCTCCACGAGCCGTATCTGCGCCTCGGACCGCACGTCGATCTCGCTGACGTCATGCAGGCCCCCAACGTCCAGACACACAGTCGAACCGCTCACACACACGTGTGGCAGCCCTTCCCCTTCTCCCCCTCCCCCTCCCCCTCCCCAGCCATGCACCAAAGGCACGTACACGATCGACACTGACTGATAGGGGTAGCTGGTCAGCGTGTAGTTGGTCATCACTGAGAGGGCCCGGGCGCAGTGGCCTGTCGAGTGCCGCAGTGCGCGGCTGTATGGGGGCGGGGCGAAGGCCACCAGACGCTTCTTGGTGCTGCTCGGCTCGATGAATGCGGGCGGAGCGGAGGGGGCGGAGGAGGGGGACGGGGACGGGGAGGGGGTGGGCTTTGGCGGCTGCTTGTTGTCATCTTGCTTGGTGGCCTGCGTATACTCGTGTCGACACGTCCGCAAGACAGACACACAGACAGACAGACAGACAGAGATGCAATCGCTCACTCACTGGCCGATGGATGGAGTGACTGACTCACCTTGTCTCTGTCCGTCTGCACTCTTGAAGATCCGATCTCTGTCGACTCGATGATGACTGACCCCTCCTCAGGCACGGAGTGGAAGTCCACCTGCCGACACGTCAAGGGGCCCGCATAGCAACACACCTCACCCACTGAGAGATGGGAGTGTGGCGACCTGACCACATACACACACACACACGCGCATGTGGCATCAACCAGACGTTTACCTAGGCCGGTTTGTTTTGTGCGTGCTGACGTACGTGTTTTCCCATTTGGTGGTGCCGTCGTGTCTGAGCGGCTGGTCGGCCGTCAGCGAACGGGGGTGCTGATGGATGGATGGATGCAGGGAGTGAGGGAATGACTGCATGTGTGACTTAAATACCGTCAAGTGTCCCGGCCCGACGGCCCAGTAGTCGTTGGTCGAGGGCACCGTCGTGTACTCACACACCCACTCCACCCTACACACACCCACACCAACACCCACACCAAACCCGCACACATCGACCCTTTCACCGTATGGTATGTGCAGACAGACGGACCCACCTGACCCACCTGCTTTCGAAGGCTCCACACAGATGAGGTATCCAGGAGTGTGTGGGCGAGTAGGCCCTCTCCGCCACAAAATACACCCACCCCTGGTCCACGCCCGCCCCAGCCATCCCAGCGTCTCCATGGAGCCCCCACACGTCTCTCTCGCTCAGCACGGGAAGGTGCGGCGCGTGCAGGAAGTAACAAGGGCTCGTCAGGGCGCTGGGGTCCGCCCACGTGTAGGCGATTGCCAGGATCACCCGTGCAAAGGACGAGGGCGGTGCTGGTGCGGCGGGAGGGGGGATGGTCGCCTCGTCGATGGGATGGGCCGGCTGACACACACACACACACACACACACGCACATACAGAACGTGTGTGTGGGAGAGGGGAGGGGAGGGAGAGTTGTCCTCCCCTCCCTCCTCTGTCTGTCTGTGTGTGCGTGTGTGTGTGTGTCGGTACCTACCTGTCGAGTTTGCAGGGGTGCCGCGTTGAGGATATCTTTGGAGATCCGGATGTGATAGACGTTGACCTTGAGGCTGCTCTGGGATGACACATGCGCCTGCAGACAGACAGACAGACACGCACAAACAGATAGATACTCGTCTGTTCGCTCCTGAGAGTGACCGGATGATTGATCCTTCCACCACACGGCCTCACCCGCTTCTGTTCCTCCCAGTCTAGCAGACTCCTGCGGTGCTTGAGATTGGCGCGAAACGGGTAATACTGACAGAACCAACACACACACATATTCTATTCCATGGCGCATTTCCGAGCTCACCTACCTCATCGGCCATCTCTGGCTGGGCATAGGCCGGCGGCATGACCGCCACGCCCTCGCTCTCGCCGTTGGCCCGCACACCGGCCCACTCACAGGGCCCCTGCGGCCACTGCACCTCCACACACACATCGTCGCCGAACAGCGCCCGGTGTGAGCCTGATGAGCCGCCCTCGCCGACTCTCTGCCGCTTGCTGGGGAGGGTGTTGTTGATGGCCTGCACCGAGGGCACCATGGGGATGTCGCACGTGATGGTCGTGGTGCACTCGACGCGGCGCGTGTCAAAGTCGACAGTGGCGGAGAGGTGCTGGGAAATAGGGATTACCTCGTCCATTGCTGCCATTGCTGCCATTGCTGCCAGTCGCTGGCAGGAGGTAGCTGGGATATGGCTGCCTGCTCACTCACGTCAGTCAGTGTTGAGTGTTGAGATGCATGTGTCAATGAGTTGGTCGTTGACAGCTGATGATCAGCTGACAGGGCTTGGCAGTGCATCGGCGGCGCATCCAGATCCCTGCGGAATGCGCTCTGAGATCCCAGATTCCCGACGGAGCGAGCTCAGCTCGCAGGATCGCTCGACAATGCGCTCGAGTGTTGTTGTTAGGAGCATGAGAGGCAGACCTTGACTATCCATAGCTGACGTGCATTTCCATGTCTGAGCAAAGTGGACTGTCACCGCCACCGCCACCGCCACCATCGGCAGCACCACCATCAGCCAATCTCAACCCAGACCACCAGCAGCCGCCTTGTCCCCCGCTGGACCCTCCCCCCAACCCCATCCCCAACCCCATCGCCGCCAGTGATGCAGACATCTACTCGCCCGAGACCATCAACGAGCAGGGGTTCTTCGACGCTGCCCGGTTCCAGCGGCTCATGCACTTCTATCGCCAGCAGAGCGATCCCACCCTCCAGCGCCTGCATCCCTGGCGCAGGGGACACAACGTCCGCCGCATCAGCCAACTGGAGCCACTCGCTGGCCCAGCTGGCCTTGAGGTGCTCTCGGGCGGAGATCAGCCTGAGCGAGAGGCGGCTACCGTGCAGCAGCAACGGAAGCGAAAGCTGGCTGACAATGGTGGTGCTGACACGGCCGACTCGACGACGCTTGTGCGGCAGGACAGCGACATGCTGGTGAATGGAGTGGAGAGGGATGTGTTCAGCGGCAATGGTGGTTTGGAGGGGGAGGATGTGCGCATGGCCGACCACCCTGCTATCGACGCTGCGGATGGCGGCAGGGATGGGGATGCCGGCAACAGCCGCATGGAGCTGATTGACAGTCCGAACGATGAGTCGAGTCCCGCAGCAGCCAGAGACCCCTGCTACGCCGCCCACAACAAATCTTCCATCACGCCGATGCCGAGACGGCCGACCAAGGCGGCCAAGCAGGGCCCGTTCGCCGACCTGCTCATGCCGCCGAGGCAGGAGACCTTTGCCACGATGGCCGCCGCCGACATCAGCAGCATCCAGATCGACCGCATGTCCCCCCTGAAGGCCCGTCAGGCCCGCCCGTCGCCCCACAGCGACCACACGTCCTTCTACAAGACGCGCCCGGCAGAGAAGCTCCGTCTCATCCTGGACATCGACAACACCCTCGTCCACACGGTCCAGGTCGGCCATGTGGCGCAAAGCAACTCCGGGGCGACAGGCGTGCCCTACAAGCTCAATGGTGCCGATTTCCTGGACAGCACGGGAAAGCCGGAGCTGTACATATGGCGGCATGCGGGGGCGGAGGGGGGGGAGGGGGGCGGGGGCCAGCAGGGCGCCACCCCCCTGTACTACTACATCAAGCTGCGGCCGGGCGTGAGGGACTTTCTGCGGTCGCTGGCGCCGTACTACGACTTCGCCATATACACCAGCGGGGTGCAGGTCTATGCCTACGTCGTGCTGGCCATACTCGACCCAGAGAGGAAGCTCTTTGCCGACAGGTGAGTGACTGAGGGAGGGAGGGAGGGGAGGGTGTGCAGCTGGATTGTGTGTGCGTGTGTGTGTGTGTGCAGGAATGTGGTGTGTCGCGAAGAGAGCCAGCCCAAGGAGGACACCAAAGAGCTCAAGTGGGCAGCGAACCCAACACGACCACACACGCATGGCATCGCATGCACCGCACGAACATCCCATCCACCGATCCATCCCATCCAATCCAGTCCATTCACTCACCATTGTGTGTGTGTGTGTGCGTGTGTGTGTGCAGGAAGCTGTTCGAGGACCCGCGTGACCGTTCCATATCGGTGATAGTGGACGACAAGGTGGGCGTGTGGATCAACCCCTCAGAGCAGCCGCTGGTCATCCAGTCGGACCCTTACATGTTCCTCAACACCACCCTCACACACAAGGCCGTCCCCCCACCGCCCCTCTTCAACCACCAGCACCAACTCATGGCCGACCAGGCCAACCTCTACGCCGGCATCACCACCGTCGTCACGCATCCTGCCTTCGAGGGCAGGTACGAGCGGCTCCCGGACAGCGACAAGCAGCACGAGCTCACCACCGAAATATTCAAGCTGTTCAACGGCTTCACACTGCCGCTCAAGAGAGAGGGCGACGGGACCACTGCCAGTGCCAACGGGGTATCTGGAGGCGGCGGGGGCGGTGTGATGGACTCGGACCGGCAGCTGTGCTACCTCAAGGAGCTGCTGCTCAAGCTCTACAGGCGATACCAGATGGAGGGCGGACGCAGAGAGTGAGACCACACACACAACCACACACACTCCACCCACCCACCATCCATCGAATGCACTTCTCTGTCTCTGGAAACGTGTATGTATTGTGTTCATGGATCAGGGTCCGATCGCTGCTGAAGGACATCCGCCAGGAGACCCTCCAAGGTGTCAGGATGCAGTTCGCAGGCTTCCTGGGCACACATTCTGAGTGCCGGGGCCACGAGACGCTCACGTCGTCGCCCAACCAGCGTGCGTACGGTCCGTTCGGGTGGGTGCAGCAGGACGAGCTCAAGAAGCACCTGGAGAGCATGGGGGCCGTCTTGACCGCCGACAAGGACCTCAGGAGCGACACTACACACCTCGCCGTCTGGTCCGAGCTGCAGAGCGGATCCAAGATCGACACCGTCAGGTCAGTCTGTCTGTCTGTCTGTGATCTGATGTGCATTGCGCGGATGCATCGGCCATCCATCTCTCTCTCTCTCTCTCTCTCTGTGTGTGTGTGTGTGTCTGTGTGTGTGTATATGTCTGTCTGTGTGTGTGTGGATCAGGCAATGGCGGCAGCAGGGTGCGTCGATCGAGTGTGTGCACTGGTCCTGGATCCAGGCGTGCGCCTCAACGTGGACCAGGCTGCCGGAGACGCTGTTCGAGCCGCTTCCCCTCTACGCCAAGATGCCCTTCCGCGACCGCGATCTCAACACCCCCATGCCCCAGCAGGCCATAGAGGTGGCCGGCCAGACCGTCTCCAGCACCATCAACATGTACATGAAGACCATCTGGGACCACACGGGATCGCTCGCGTCGTCCGCCAGGCCCAAGAAGGTGTGGAAGACCGCCAAGGCCGCTCAGACCGGCAAGGGCGCCAAGGCCTTCCGGGAGTACGTCTGTCCCTGCGCCAAGGTCGAAGGGAACCTCGTGGCGGGCCTGGGCGACGTCGTGCGGCTCAAAGGACGGTCCGCTGCATCCACGTCGGCTAGCATGGGGCCGGAGCTGTTCATTCCATCATCATTCAGCTGATTCACCTGGATGATGGGGTGGGTGGTGGGTGTGCGTATCGGTGCGTCCAATGCCACGTGTTGTGTTGCGTGCATGGTGTGTGGGGTGCGGTGTGGTGTGGCAAGGCGCATGGTGTGGTGCCCCGCACAGAGGCACACATCATGCCAACGGATGGCGTGTGCGTGAGGGCCGCAGAAGGAGAGCTAGGGAGAGCTGCAGCCCTTCGGAGTCGGAGATTCAACGGCCGCTTTAACGGCCAGCGGAGCGGTCGAGATCTTTTACATACCGACAGTCTGATCAATCTGATCTGGCGCCAAACAAGCGCTACGGCCCGCTGACAGCAGAGGGCAAAAAAGAGTTGACAGCCTTCTGGTCACGCACAAGGGCTGGCATCATCGACACACTCGCACAAATGGCTCGTGACGTGCAGCAGCATACAGACAGATAAGACAGACGGCAGACAGACAGATAGTTACATGCACACGTGCGTCACATGCCTGCCCCCTTCAGTCCTTCCTTCAGATCTGACACAAATGATTAATGCCCTCCCTTCTCTCTCTGGGAGCTGGCTACCATCCATCACAATGGATGGACCCACAGACTGTCCCTGAATGAATGGATGGATGCATGACCATGCATGACGCTGACTGACTGACTCACTCGCTGACTCGCTCAACCGTCCGTCCGTCCGTCTCTGCTACTTGCTGGAAGGCGGCTTCCATGACTCGGGGATGACGTCGAAGAGCTTCCTGCACGTGCTGTAGGTCACCTCTCTCACCTCCTCAAATCCTTTGGCAAAATTCTCCGTCTTCGGAAGCTTCTCGGGCGATGGATTCTGAACACAAAAAGCACCACAACCAGCCAACGCAGATAGATGCACCCACCGGGATCAGTCAATGAATCATCTGTGTGTGACAGGGTCCCTGCGCACCGTGAGGTACTCGTCGGCTTCTTTGAGTCCCCAGCCTAATCCCAACCCCGTGCCGATGCCCGTGAGCAGACACCTCATGGCGGCTCCCTTCATGAACACCAACGCCATGAGGCCGCCGCCCACCATGCCGAACCCCGCCTTCGCAGCTGCATTCACCGCCAGCCGGCTGTAACTCTCGGACAACGGCGGACTTTTGCTTTGCGCCGCCTCACTCATCCTGGAGCTCCAAAGTGTGCGAGCTTGGATGAGGGAGCTGAGATCTTCCTCCGCCAGGCCGATCCCAAGCGTGCAGATGGCGTTGCCCTGACTGCAGATCTTTGAGGGTTCATGCCTCCGTCGGTGATTTTGACAATAAGCAGAAAGAAGAATGGCTCATCCTCGTCAACGACGGCAGCAGCGTCAGCATGAACGCCCTACGTTCCTCTGCGCCGTGACCGTCGCGTGTGTGGTGTCGTCGGCCGCCGCCTTTGTGCCCGTTCAGCTCATTGGAGGCGAGAGGGGTCTGCGGCCTGCTCCTGCTGTCAGGCAAGGCCATCATCATGACTCACAGCAAAGGAGGGCTTCAACGCTCTTTCTCACAGGTAGCATGCACCAACCAAACCTCACCCGTGTGCTGTGCTGCAGATGCGGGCGGGAGTTCACTCTTCTGTATGTGTGTGTGCCTTTGTGTGTGGCGTGGGTTGAACTCCTTCCTCATCAGGTCTGTCAGATGAAGCACCGGGTGTGGGTGGTGGGGTGGATGAGCGCCGTGTTGAGTGCCTCAAGAGCCTCAAAGGCGTCATCGACCCTGATCTGGGGCAGGACATCGTCACGCTCGGTGAGTGAGGAATGTGTTCAACAGTACAGACATGCACACACACACACACACGTGGGAGAAGTGTGCTAGTGACACTGATGTGCCTGGCTGGCTGGCTGGCTGGCTGGCTGATGATCCATCAGGTTTTGTCAAGGGTCTGACGATAGATGAGTCGACGGGCAACGTGGCCATGACGGTCGAACTCACAACGCCCGCATGCCCTATGAAAGACCAATTCAGGTGCGTCGCTCCCGCCAGCCTCAGAACACACCATAACACACCATAACACACCGCACCGCGCGCACACACGCAGACCCACGTACGCGGTGGCCTGTCCATCTCTCCCCTCTCTCTCTCTCTCTCTCTTTCTCTCTGTCTTGCAGAGAGAGCATCACGTCAGCGCTTGAAGTGCTCCCCTGGGTGAACGGCGTGGACATCACTTTCACCTCTCAGCCCATCGGCACACGCCCCTCGCCACTCTCACTCGATGGACAGAGGCAGCAACACGCCCCTGGTACCCATGTGCACACACACACACACACACACACATGCACATGCCCCCAAAGAATGACACACTTTTGTGTGTGTGTGTGTGTGTGTGTGGATGCAGGTGGGACGTCCCGCGTGCGGGCGATCATCGCTGTGTCGTCGTGCAAGGGCGGGGTCGGCAAGTCGACCACCGCCGTGAACCTCGCCTTCGCACTCAAACACATGGGCGCAAAGGTGCGCATGGGCGAGGGGGGCGTGGGTCTGGACGGATGGATGGATGGATGGATTGGTGCGTGTGCCGGTGTGAATGGTGTGCTTTGGTTTGGTGTGTCGCGTGACATGACATGACGTAGGTTGGGATCCTAGACGCTGACGTGCATGGCCCTTCGTTGCCCACCATGGTGCGGCCGAGCGAGCCGGTGGTGACCATCGAAGAGGTCCCTGCCGAAGACGGACAAACCGTGCAGGTCAGCATTAGCATGCACGCAGCCATAGACAGACAGATGGACGAGGGATGAAGTGTCCATGTTGCTCTGTGTGTGTCCGTCCGTCTGTGTGTCGGGGTGTGTCACACACAGATTCTGAAGCCGATCGATCACGATGGTGTGAAGCTGATGTCGTTTGGGTTCATCAACCCGATGGCGGCCGTGATGCGGGGGCCCATGGTGACCAACCTGCTGAAGCAGTTCGTGGGCTACACGGACTGGGGCGAGCTCGACTACCTTGTGGTCGACATGCCCCCCGGTACCTGCACACACACACACACACACACACACACACGCTTGCACACCGTTGTCATGGTGGCGATGTGCTGGGTGGGTGCAGGCACCGGCGACATTCAGTTGACGTTGTGTCAGAGCCTCGACATCACGGCGGCAGTTATCGTCACCACACCACAGAGGCTCGCGTTCACTGACGTCGTCAAGGTCACCCACATGGATAGATGAGTGGATGGATGGATGGATGGATGGACAGCCCCCCGTGTGTGTGTGTGTGTGTGTGTGTATGTGTTGTCTTCTGTGCTCAGGGAATTGACATGTTTGACACGGTCAACGTCCCATGTGTGGCGGTGGTCGAGAACATGGTGAGACGCCATCGACACACACACACACACACCACACTTGAACACAAACCACCACATGGATGCGATGCACCCTTTACCAGGCGCACCTCACGACAGACGACATCGACACCGACCGCCTCGCCCGCGACATCGCCGCAGCCACATCCATGACAGACCAACAGCTGAGAGATCAGCTGTCCATTCAGAACGGTACACACATACACACACACACACACACACATGAATGGATGGATGGATGGATGGATAGACAGACAGACAGACAGACGCGCGTGCGTGTGGCGTGTTGTCTGTCCCCCACAGAGGATGGTGAAAGTGTTGGGCGGGAAGAGCTCGTCCGTCGGTGCGTCGACCGTGCGCTGAGGAGCCCCGACGTGAGGCGGAGGAAACGGATGCAGCTCTTTGGCAAAGGGCACAGACAGAGGTGGGCGGTGGGTAGCGTGGGAGGGAAGTCATCACCCCTTCATGGGTGGGTGCGTCCTGTCGTCTCTTATGTTTGTTTGTGTCAGGTTAAGTGACATGTGGGGCATCGACAACGCCTTTTCTCTGCCGCTGCTGCCATCCATCTCGCGGGCCTCTGACTCGGGCACGCCATTCGTCGACACCGACAGTGACACAGCTGACTCAGACAGTGAAACCGGAATCGGACCGGCAGAGAGGGAGGCCAAAGACACCTACAAGAATATCGCGCAATCTGTCGTGCAGGCAAGCGACCGACCGGACCTTCGTGTGCAGTGAGTGCATCTCCGTGTGTGTGCGTGTGTGTGTGTGTGTGTGTGTCCTTAGGAGGTGGCGAAGCTGCAGTCTCTGTCCCGCGACAAGCGTCGGCCGGCGGTGCTTTATCTGTCTGAGGGCAACGAGCTGGTGGTGGCCTGGCAGGGGCAGCAGACGGCCATCCCTCCCGCAGGACTGAGACGTAAGTGCCGGTGCGCCGCGTGTGTCGAGGAGGGCACCGGCAGACAGCTTCTCGACCCCTCGGTAGGAGGGAGGGAGGGAGGGACACCCCAATACCCTCACACACACACACACACACACAGACAGAGTGCTTCACTCTGTCTGTCTCTCTCTGGATGGATGGATGGATGTGTCAGTCGGTGTCTGAGGATATCCGGCCGACGAGGTTAGAGCCCGTCGGCAACTATGCTTTGGGTGTCGACTGGTCCGACGGCCACAAGTCCATCTATCCCTACCGCGCCTTCGTCCCCGGCTACACGAGCAGGCGCGACACGGCGTACGAGCAGCTGGAGAGCTCTCGCGACAATGGCGACATTGTGCTGCTGCACAGGGTGCCCGCCACCAGGCGGACTGAGTCTGAGAAAAGGGAGACTGCCGCCGCTGCTGCGGCTGCGGCTGCTGCTGCTGCTGCTGCTGCTCCTGTGGCTTCGTGACGACTGGATGATCCGATGGATGGATGGATGGATGAGCTGTTGATAGGCGTAAATGGGACGTGCTGTGCTGTTCTGAGCTGTGGTGTGAGTGTCGTGTGTGCAGAGAAGATGCAGAGAAGAGCTAAGTTGGATGAGCGAGCGAACGAGCGAGCGGCCTTTTTGTGTGCGTGCTGTATGGATGCGGTGCGGTGTGGTGGATATCTCGACAGACACATTTTGAGTGAATTTTTCACACGCACACACACACACACACACACAGACAGAGAGTAAGAGATTGCACTGAGTGCGTCGTTCGTGAGGAATGAGCTCAGACAGACAGACAGACAGAAAGACAGAGAGCTCGCTCTGTTGTTTGCTTCATTTGACAGAGCGGTGCAGACCAGACCCGAGCAGAGCAGAGCAGAGCAGAATATATGAGCCGAACCAACACATACACACCCACACCCACACCCACCCGCACACAGACCGACTGACTGACCGATCGGCTCACGTGGCGGCCGCCATGCCGCCGTGGACACTGCGAACCTTCACGTCAAACCCTGCACACAAATCCTGTGATGATTCAGTCAGAAGACACGCCACCATCCCACCCACACCACACGGCCTTTCACCTTTCCGGCAGTATGTGAGTATCCACTCCATCTCATCTGCACACACACACACACAGGGGCTCGAAACGACACGCCTGATGGCCCCATTCGTCCGTTCGTGTGAGTGTGAGCATTTCTCGCCTTGTGTGGGAACAGACAGGACGTCGTGGCCCTACACACACACACATACACACAGAGAGAGAGAGGCACACAGACACACCTTGCAGAGGGCCGGTCCTCTCTGTTCTGTCTCTCTCTGCACTCGTCAGCTTCGCCCACGTCATAGGAGATGATGTGCCCTAGCTCAGGCTCGAAGTAGCCGTTCCCAGTGTCGAAACAACCTACACAGACAGACAGACAGACAGTCTCTCTCTCTCTCACTCACTCTCTCTCACTCTCTCTGTCTCTCTGTAGCCATCTAGTTGTGTGTGTCTCTGTGTGTTTGTCCGACTGACCGTATGGTATGAGTGGTGAGGGCACTTCGTTGGTGAGGAGTGTGTTGCCGGCGGGCTGCAGACCGTGCAGCACCTCAGAGTAGAAACGCCGATCTGCATCGGTCGATACACACAGACAAAACACACACATGCACACGAACAAAGCAGCGCAGACACACACACACACACACTCGTGGCGCGTGGTGTACCTTTCCTTGTGAGGTATTGCCAGCCTCTGTCCTGGTACAGAAGACCATCGTTGAAGACATACTGACCCTGTCCACACACACACACACACACAGGGATGGATGGACAGAGCACGGCCGATCCTGTCCTCCCTCCATGTGGTATTTGTGTACCCCGACAGCGAATCCCCTGTCCCATTTGGCCACGTAGCGTCCTCCATTGGGGTAGATTAAGGAGCCGTCGCCATGGAACCTGTGTGGAGTGGAGGCACACAACACACACGTGTCCCTGCCTGTCCTGACAACTGACTCTGTCTGTCTCGATTGCACTCACTCTCCTTTGTGGAACTGCCCCTCGTAGACCACCCCGTTGGGAAAGCGATACCGACCGCTCCCCTCAAACCTGATGGAACGACCAACCATGTGTCACACATGCAAGGATGACCACACACACGGACAGACAGACAGACAGAGAGTGTGAGAGAGAGAGAGAGAGAGAGAGAGGAAGCGAAGCATCATCCCCCTCTCTCCGTGCGTTTGTGTGCTCGAGCCCGAGCAGGCCACAAACACCCACACCCACACCCACATCCCTACCAGCCATTTTTGAGTGGCCCCTCGTATGAGGTCCCGCTGAGGCGGCTCGTCGACTGGGTGACCGTCGCGGCGTCTGCAGGGGCGGCCGATGGCGGCGGGGCAGTGGGGGCGGATGCGGGGGTTGGGACAGTGCGGCTGGTTGCCTCTCGCGCCTCGTCCTGTGCGTCGCTCATCCCCTCAGTCAGCTCAGGATGAGAACCGAAGGGAAGGCGTGCCCAACACCGGGGGGCAGTTGCAAATTTTGTAACCCTGGGAGTGCTTTAAGGGTTTTGACTCACTGCAAGGCTGGCCCTGTGAGTGCATTCAATGCTGGCCCTGTGGCTGCAGGGCGGGCCTTCTCACTGGAGGGCTGGCCTTCTGACTAGAGGAGGACATGCCAGCCTTCCGGCCGGCCACTAGGGGGTACCGGCCACGGGGCAGCTTTGGCGCACACCCGTGCACACTGAGGACACGTACGTATGTGAATGTCTCTCTGTGTGTCCACGATGCAACGAGTGGGTCAGCGTGGACTGATGTGGTGGGTGGATGGATGGCATGCATGTTATCCGTGGGTGGTGTGAGGACACTGTGAGTGAATTCATCGCACGCACTTCAGTCACTCAACCAATCGGCACTCACACAAGTGACACACCATAGACACTGTCAGCATGCAAGCGAGCCAAGTGAGAAGGAAGGATGGTGTTACAACACCATGGTGGGTGAGCACAGCGCAGCCAGTGGTGTCTTGTCTGGAGGGGGAGGGGAGAGAGAGAGAGCGAGAGAAAGAGAGTGGGGTGAGGGAGTGGGGGGCAAGAAGAGCAGCAGCAAACCGAGGGAGACAGGAAGGCGTGCACCCACCCACTCACTCATCGCAGCGATCAGTGTCAACCGAGGGAGGACATACATACACACGATCGATCGACCGATCGATCAATCAATCAATCAGGAAAAAGGGCAATCAACATGTCAACCAATTAACCCACTCCCCCACCCTCTCCACACGGCAGGCAGGCGGACAGGCAGACATACACTTTGCAGTCACTGAATGACTGCCGCGTGTGGTCATTCCTTCCTTCCCCCTAAATTTCTCCAGTGCCTCTGCAACGCCGAGCACCCCACCTTTGTTTGTGTGTGGTGTGTGGTGTGCGTCCCAGACAGGCCCTGCAGCAGCAGGCAGGAAGCAAAGCAACGACCCACCCACCCGTGGCTGAGCCAGGCAGCCGCCAGAAAAATACTGCCTGCCTGCCTTCGTGTCAGCGAGAGAAAGCGATTCTGCCCTTCCTCGCACATATGGGTGGAGGGTGATGTGTGTGATGTGTCGATGTCAGGCTCGTAGGAGGGAAGCATGGCAGAAGGAAGGACACACCAGAGAAGAGAGACGCAGACATACTAAGAGGACATGCCCCTCTTCGCCCCGGCAGCCAGCGCACTTACAAATAGAGTGAGTGCATCAACCACCGATCGTCTCAACCAACACACCCAGACACCCAGACAGACAGACAGAAAGACAGACGGCAAACACAGCAGCCAGCACGCCGCATGCCAATACACGCCCGCACAGATGCTCGCAGCCAACAGGCCGCTCGCTTCATTCGCTCATTCGTTCGTCCTGTTGTTCTTTGAACAGACTGCTCCCATTCCCTCTCCGCCCCTTTCTCTAGACTACACAGTCAGTCACGAAAAACAGACAGACACATAGCCAGACGTACGTACCGACGACGGACGCACAGACAGCCAGACGAAGATCAGCTTTGCTCTTGGTCTGTAGGCAGGGATGGATGGATGGATGGGTGTGTCACTTACTCCTTCAGTCATTCGCCCTGCACGGGAGGGAGCGGGGGGTGTGGGTGCTGGCCCTGGCCGTGGGCGTGCGACGGCGAGTGGTGGCCGCCGTGGCGGGGCGAGTGATGATGCTGCTCCATACCGTCTCCCTCCCACTTGGCCTACAAATCACACACACACACACACACATACAGAGTGACTGTGAGTGTGTGTGTGGTGGTGTTGGCTGGCTGGTTGGCCGGCTGGTTGGCCTGACCTGTATGTCGGGCACTGGTGCGGGTGCGAGTGGGTGTCTGAGCTTGGCGAACTGGTCGGACGGCATCGAGTGGAACAGATCAGACAACGACACGTACACCGACTCGTCTGCGCCCACACAGACAGCATACCACCCACACCCGTCATGGCCAGCGTTGATCCCTCCCTCCCTCCCTCCCTCCTTCCCTCCCTCCATGGGTGTCAGTGTGGATGGGGCGGGGTGGTGGTCTACCTACCGTCTCCTTCTCCCTGGACTTTGGTCCTGTGTGTTCGTTGCTTGGGTCCCTTGGTCTGCCACTCGCCCACGATGGGCTTGAGGTGCTCGTGGCCGTCCTCGCCCTCCTCCTTCTGAAACGTCACCGGCTGGTAGAACGACTCCCCCGTCGACACTGATATGATGAACGAGTGATGCGGGCAGCGAATGCACGGCTGCATGACATGACACAGAGAGCCAGACCACAGACAGACAGACAGACAGACGCACAGCAGAGACGAATAGAGAGAGAGAGAGAGAGATGCCGGGTGGCTGGGCGAGCGGGTGGGTGTGGCCATCCATCCATCCGACCTGTCCAGCGATGTCTTCGATGTCTTCAGCCTGGTAGAGCGGTCCGCCGGCGTGGTAGCAGTTGGCGTCGATGGCGTACACGCAACCATTGTACAGAAACAACGCCACTGCACACGACACGGACGAACAACGACACACACGCAACGAACGACGGGCAAAGCACAGAACGACAGTCGATGTCCAACGACGGCCCAACGAGCGACGTCCACTGCTCTGGCGGCTCTCTGTGCACATGTATGTACATCTTAAGAGTGCTGGCTGACCTGGTCGCCCGCTGACCACAACCAAAGTGGGACGCACACCCAGCTGCACACACACACACACACACCTGCCCTCCGACCGACCGACCTGTGTGGTTATCGCCTTACCGTCTTGAGTGGCACAGTCTTGAACCAGGGCACCCCCTGATTGTCGACCTCCGGCGCCGCGGCATGCTTGGGCGACGTCGGTCCGCCCAAACTGTGGGAACTCATCTCAAGCTTCTCAACCTGTCAACGAAAACTGGTTGGCGGCTGTGTCAACGAGGTTAAGCGCCTCGGCTCATAGCGCGACACACAGCACACAATAAGGACAGCGTTCAGCGCCTTTCAAACTCCTTCGACAAGGCTGGAAAACGGCTCTGCAGAGTGCGAGTTGGGTGTTTCACTGGCGAACGTCGCTTCGTTCGTCGGTCTCTTTCTCCCCTTGAAGCCAAGCTCGCAGGCCCAAGAGCTCGCACAAGAGAGAAAGACAAAAAGAGAAGCAAAGCAGCCGCCAGACAAGCAGCAGATTCATCATTACCCGACAGGCCGAGACCGACAGCAGCTGGGTCATTGAATCAACACACACCGGAGTGACATTATGGCTGGTCAGAGCTTCGTGTCCATGCTGCGCGTGGGCGGGTTCCTCGGCATCCTTTGGGCTAGCTCCAAGCTGATGCGGCTGATAGGCGTGTCGACCATCCTGGCGGAGATACTCGTGGGCATGGCCATGGGGCCCCAAGTAGCAAAGGTCCTCCCACACGCATACGACAGACCCGCGGCGGAATTCCAGTACAACTGTGGCGACGTGAGTCAGTCAGTCAGTCAGTCAGTCAGTCAGAGTGTCGGTCGGATGGTCGGAAGATTGATGTGTTTGTTTGTTCAGAAACTGTGGGCGAAGGACAACATGGCCAAGTGGAAGGATGGGGGTTTCTCTGAGGACGGCAAGTGGGTCATCAAAAGCCACAGGTGGGCTGGCTGCATCCATGGCTGCGTGCGTACCGTACGTGTGGCCGGCCAGCCACGGGTGTTCTCTCTTGGTTGCTGTTGGTTGGTGCACTGCAGGCGCCTGCAGCAGGCGCCTCCGCTCCTCAACGACACCATGGCGACGACGGTTGTTGATGGGCCGCTCTATCTGTCTGACGTCGAGAACACAGTCCCCGATTCTGACCTGCTGGAACAGGTAGCTTGCTATTTGCTGCTTCTGTCTGCCTGCTGATGTGCGTGTGTGGTGACTATAGGCACCATCTTGGCGCGGGCGTGGCGAAGTGAGCCGCGCTGTGGAGCGCCGGCGGCTCGCCAGCGACGGTGAGTGAGCACCCATGCATTGCAGAGGGGTGGATACACTCCCTCGCACTTGTGTGGGTGTGTGTGGGCGAATGTGTGTTGTGTGTGCAGGTGATGAGTGTAAAGACGTGACGGAGGACCACCAGTGCTGCCACGACCAGACGCACCACGGCCAGAACCTGCCGTCGATATTTGTGCTCATCGGACAGGCGGGCGTGGCTCTCATGATCTTCGAGTCAGGCATGCACTTTGACTTCGGCAAAGTCAGACAGGTGCGCGCCGCCCCCGCACACACAACACAGGTGTTGTGTTCTCTGTTTTGTGTTTCGTGTTTTGTGTGGGTGGGTGCATGTCTATCTATCTTTCTATCCACGTCTGTCTGTCTGTCTGTCTGTCTGTCAGGTGGGCGGGGGGGCGTTGGTGGTTGCCTTGATCGGCACCCTGCTGCCGATCGGCCTGGGGATGCTCTTCGTCTACATGTGCCTACCGACGGCAACACACAACACACAACACACAACACACCACAACACACGCCTGCCTGCCTGCCTGTCCGTCCGTCCGCTCGCCCATGTGATGTGTACCTGATACTATCTATGCCCTGCTGTGCAGGCTGGAGGGCTTCGACGGCAGTGTCGTCTACAGTGATGAAAACAAGAGCGGCCTCGCTGCAGGAGTGGTACAGTCCGCGAAGCCACACCCACATCGCACCCAGACGCTTGTTCTGTTTTTTCTATATTGGCTTGATTGCTTGTGTATGGCTCACTCAGTCACTGGCACCGACCAGTGTGGGCATCGCTCTGAAGCTGCTGATGGAGACAAAGCAGCTCGGCACCGACTATGGTAGACAGCAAAGGCACACTCACTGCACACATGGCGGGCATATGTGTGTGTGTGTGTGCAGGTCAGGCGGTGATCACGGCGGCCTTTGCGGACGACGTGCTGTCGCTCCTGGCCTTCATCGTACTGGAGCAGCTGAAGGTGACAGACAGACAATAGACCAGCAATGGACGAGGACACTGTCGTCATGTGAGCGTGTGTGTCATTATTTGTGTGTGCAGCCAGGTGAGGAGATCACCTTTCAGGTCGTGGGTGTGCCCGCCATCACGTCGGTGGCACTGCTCGTCTTTGGAGCGTTCGCGGCCGTCAAGGTGTGTTAGCGCGCCTGTGCACCGCGCGGCACCAATGTCAGGCAGACAGGCAGGCAGGCAGGCAGAGAACAGATGGTACTATGCCGGATGCTGTGTGTCGTTGGTTCATCATTCGTGCGTGTCTCCACGTTGTGTGCGGTGTGGTGTCTGGTGTGGTCCCTCCCTCCGTCCCGTAGATCTACCCCAAGTACCTGCCCAAGATCCTCCACAAGATCAAAGAAGACCCCAAACAATGTATGTATCCCACCCATCGAATCGACAGACACACAAATGTGGGTCTCGTCTTCTCTCTCCCTCTCTCGCCCTCTCCCTCTTGTGTGCGCGTGGTTGTGCAGCGTTCCAGCCCCGCGACGCTTTGCTGCTGGTCACCATGTTCGCCACGCTCATCGGCTTCGCGTAGGCACTGACCGCACCCACGCACGAAATACGTACGCCTGTGTGTATCTGTGTGAGCATCTTTTGTTTGTGCAGAGAGCTGTCGGTCGTTGCCAAGGCGTCCCATCTGCTGGGCTGCTTCGTCGCAGGCATGTGCTTCACAGGCGTCCACAGGGCGCACCACGTACGTGATGCCGGCTGGGCTGCACACGAGCCAGCCACTGATTGATGCGTCATGATGGATGGCGATTGATTATCCATCCTAACCACTTGTTCATTCATCAGATCTGGAAGACGCAGACGAAGCGCATCACCGCCTGGATGGTGCGGCTCTTCTTCGGGGCGACCGTCGGCTTCGCCATACCCACAAAGGAACTCGGCACCATTGACGCCTTCTGGAAGGTCCGTCGGTCGGTCGGTCGGCCGGCCAGCCACCCACACCCACACCGGCCGAAGTGTGTGTTGTGTGGTTGATTGACTCTTTGTTGGCAGGGTGTTGTGCTGGCGGTGTTTCCGGCCATTGGCGCGAAGGTTGTCAGCGGCCTGCACATGGGCCCGGCAAAGTGGGTGTGCAGGGTGTGTGTGGGGGTGTAGGGTGTGTTGGTTGTGTGTGAGAGTGTGTGTGTGTATATGTTTGTTGTGACCAGGTGGGTCGTTGGGTGGGCGATGGTGGGCCGCGCAGAGTTTGCCTACTTCATTGCAGAGAGCGCCGTCAACGGGAGTACACACAAAGCTGAAAGATGGATCGGTGGACTGCATCAATCTCTCTCTCTCTCTCTCTGTGTGTGTGTGTGTGTGTGGTGTGCTTGGTGTGTGCAGACTTGACGACGCCTCAGGTGTTCGCCCAGATCATATGGGCGCTGCTCATCTGCACGGCCGTCAGCCCGTTCCTCTTCAAATTTGTGCTGCTCCAGCAAATGAAGAAAAAGAGGTCAGTCAGTCAAGTCAGCTCAGCCACACACCACACCACACCACACCACACCCCCCCACTTGTCTGAGTATGTGTGTGGATTGCATTGCATGCCCCCCATGCAGCCCGGTTCGATCGCCTTACATCCGGTTCCGCGGCTTCCAGGAGGGCGACAGGGGGAAGCCTTCGCACAACGACAACTCTTTCAGGGTGCAGATCGCCGCGCCACACAAAACTGGAGTCATCTTTGAAATCGGTGGGTGGGTGCGGACGGTCCCACCACCTGCTGTGTTGTCACACACACACAAAGCCTCGCTGTCTGTCTGTCTGGCTGGCTGGCTGGCTGGCTGCCTGTGGTCGACCCACCTGGTGTGCAGTGGAGCTGCTGCACGATGTCAGCCTGGACATACTGGCAATCGACGTCCACTCTGACGGGGAAACCGATATTGGGTGAGTGGCGTGGGTGTGGTGTGGTGGGGGCGTCAATCATTGAGTGCAGAGTGCGTCCCTGTGTGTGTGTGTGTGTGGACGGTCGGTCTGTCGGTCGGTGCTTACAGCGTCTACACGGTGGTGCCCCGTGGCGGCAAGGGTGTGGTGGATGAGGAGAAACTCAAAGAGGTCCAACACAACATCGTCGACGCACTCGACCACCACGACGCTCGGGTACCTACCTGGGTGGTGGGGGGGTGCGTGGGGGGGGACAAATGGATTGTGTGTGTGTGTGTGTGTGGATGGGTGTGTCCAGGTGGTGTTTCTGCCGGGGATGGTGCGGCCCTCTCTCGCGCCGCTCTGCAAGGTCCGTCGGAGAGCCACCCACGTGTGTTGTGTGCACGCACCACAAACCACCGCAAGTCTGTCTGTCTGTCTGTCTTTCATGCGTCACTCACGTCACTCACGTAGATATCGCTGCTGACGTCTCACCACCCCGACCTGATGCCCAATCTGCTGCAGCTCTTCGCCGAGGAGACCGTCACCATCGAGCAGGGCAACGTCGAGCAGCTCGAGGGGCTCGGCGCCACATATGCCTGCGTCTTCCTCTGCAGACAATTCGACACACAAAGTCAGTTGGTTGACAGCAGAGAGACAGCGAGATGGTGTGAGATCTTATCTGTTGGATCTTATCTGTTGGCCCTCTCTCTTGTCGCATCGCAGGCCGCGTCAGAGCCCAGAACGGCCCCGCTGACGCCGGCAGCAAACCTGCAGAAATCATGTTTACCGAAGAGAAACTCAACAAGGCAGGCACACTAAGCCCACGCCACCACACCATGGCTGTGCTCATCTCCCTCCCTCCCTCCCTGTCTGTCTGTCTGTCTGTGTATGGTGTCAGATTCGCACCCGTATTTGTGACATCTTTGACGCCATAGGCCTGCGTGGGGAGGTCATGTGCATCTCCCTCGACCCGGAGCAGGCCGGGCCGACCGGCGACATCGCACACGACCCTTTCCAGATCCACACCAGCTCAGAGCAGCTCGAGAAGGTCAGTACAGTCAGTACGTCGGATGGATGGATGGATGGACAGATGGACGGATGGATCTTGGCCCTTCTCTCTGTCTGTGTGTCTGTGTGTCTGTCCTTTCGCTCCTTCTTTCAGGTTCGGTTGACTTTCGACCCGGCGTCTGAGAGGACGCCCGTCATGTGCAGCAACCTGCTGTCAAAGGCACGCACGCGCACGTGGCCACATACACGTGGCCGCCTCTAGATACACATGTGCATGTGTGTGAGTTCTGTGGTTGGTTCCATGCAGGTCACTGAGCTGCTGCACGACAAGAGTCTGAACTTGGTGGCGGCGCGCATCTCGCCGGCCCAGTGGCTGCTCTATATGGACGACGCCACGCAGTACCGCCGCTCGCAGGGAAGCCCCCCAGTCAGCCCTACAGCCGGTAGGTACCTGACACACATATACCCACGCACACACACCCACACCCACACACACTCACAGGCCGTGCGTGCGCGTGTGTGTGTTCAGGCAAGGGCAAGGGCAAGGGCAAGTCGAAGGAGAAGCAGAGTGTGGAGAGACAAGCAGCAGCAGCAGCAGCAGCAGCGGCCGAGGGCGAGGGAGAGGGCCCCAGCCTCGAGTTCGACCGGGAGCAGCAAGGTGGGCTGGGCCAAGGTGGATGGATGGATGAATGGAGGGACGGCCGGTCTGTGTGCGGTGTGGATGTCTGTCTGTCTGTCTGTGTTTGTTTCTTCTTTTCTGTCTCCAGGCAAGCCAATGTTCGGTGTGCCTGCCGACCAGCTGTCTGGCGGCAGGGTTGAGGACGTCGAGCTCCTCAAACAAATCAGACAAGTCCTCAAGGTGGGTGGGCTGGTGGAGCACCACACCACACGGACAAGTCAGATCCCCTCTGTGTGTGCGTGTGTATGCGTGTGTTCGGTCGGCAGGACTTTGGTCTGGAGACCGCCACTGTGCGTGCCGAGACGGTCCGCAACGACTCCAAGCTGCTGTCGTTCGCGCTCTGATCAACCGACCAGTCGATGTGGGTCGGTCCCTCAGCTGAGGCAGCCCCTTGCTGAGTCTCTGCCTACGTGTGTGCGAAATCGGGCAGGTTTCTGTGTTGTTGCTGCTTTCTCCGTCTCGATGGCCGCTCAGTCGAGCGTGTGTGCGTATGCGTCTGATGGCTGGCATGGACAGACAGACAGATGCGCCGGACGTTTTTCCGGCTCGCTCACTCACTCATCGCTTGGTTGTCTCATTCGTTTGTTCGTTGACTCATGGGTCACTCACTGTTCATTGGATTGGTGTGGCCGCACTGAACTGCACGAACGAGGAATGGATGGACTGACTAACGCGACCGTCGACAGTCAATCCGATGTATGCGCCATGGTCCGCTCATTCCGGCCATCCATCCAATAACAATACCCCCACAGTGCCGGCCCAGAGACAGACAGACCATGGACTAAATGGCTGACTGTTGCGTCAATGGCAGCCAGCTCCAAACCCCTTGGAGACGATCTCTCGCCGTCCAGGTTTGTGTGTGCGCTTGCGTGCTTCAGATTGTCCATCACCATTCATTACATCACATCGTTCGTTGGTCAGTCCCTCGTTGGTCAGTCAGGTTATATGGCCTGTGGTTCGATGGCCGTGCCGAGGGGGTCTGGGGCGGGTCGGCCGTCGTTGTCCATCTCGCCCTCGACAGCCCATGTGTAGTTGTATTTCCAATGCAGCTGCCGACGCACCTATAGGCACACACACACGTGTGGTTGGATGGATGGATGGATGGATCAACACACACATTTAAAAAGCTCGATACATGCAAACGACCGACGGACGGCAGGGAAGCGTGTGCGTGTGTGTGTGTGTGTGTGCGGCTGGCTGACCGATGAGAAGGGCGATGCCATGCGGCCGCGGCCACTCGGCGCCAGAAACCGGTCGGGCTTCCACTTCTGACACAAGAAAGAACAACCACACACACATTGCAATCACTGCCGTCGGTCGCCACACCTTCCCGAACTGCCCACTGGCATACTTACCTCAGTGACGAATTCCGCCCGTGAGCCGGGGTACACACGCGACAGACCGATGCTGCACACACACATACAGACATCATCCTGGCTGGACGGATGGATGGATGGATGGATGGCCGGATGGATGGCTGACTTGACGAGGTTTTGTATCTGCATGAGGTGTTCGATGGGCCCGTGGTACTGGAAGGAGAAGACGCCGTTCTTGGCGCCCAGCAGAGTCGCCACACCGCACCCCTACACACACACGCACACACACAAGATGCGGATAGCCATCCGCAATCCGCCTGGATGGATGGATGGATGGATCTGACCTGCCCCTGGTCGACATAGTTGATGACCTTCCGCGCCTTCTCGACCTCCTGTGGACGGACATGTCAGCCACAACACACAACACACAACACAGCACAGCACGACAAGCGAGGTGAGGTGCGCACACAGACACACATCCATCCATCCATCCATCCACGACCGGCATCGATTCATGTCACGCATTCGAGTAGGATGGGGATCGTGTGTCACTTTCATGCTCGCCCATTCACTCACTTCCTCCCTCCCGTACGTACGCACCTTCATGTCGATGGGTCCTTCGCCCGCCGCCTTGTCGGCCCTGACCTCCATGTGCGGCGTGCGGCCCAGACCGAAATCAGGCAGCGTGAAGATCGTACCCGACGTCGTGTTGTACCTGCACACGCACACACGCACACACACACACACACACACACGCACACATCCATCCATCCATCCATCCATCTCTCCAAGGGGTCTCGGTCTCTCTGCCTGTTGTGTGAATGTGTGTGAGATGAGAGAGTGCTGAGCATACCTACCATCCGTTTTGTATGTGCCGCAGCTCCTCAAACCGCAGCTGCAGTGTCGTCCGGGAAGCACCCAGCTCCCACGTTTCGTCAACCTGCCGCCGGCGGATCTTCTCGGGGTCGTCGCCATACAGAGGATATCCCCATATCATCCGCAAGCCCAACACACACGACCGCCTGGATGGCTGAACGCGGCGCAACAGCAGCGGGCGATGCATTTGGCGAGATGCGAAAGGCCGCAGGAAGGCCACAGCTGGGAGGAAGGGGAGAGGGCGGGACGGATGTCGGCGTGGTGCCCTGCGGTTTCTTGTCAGATCCACGAGGCGATGCAAACATGGATGCTGCGGCAGGAAGGCAAAGATGAACCCCGCGATGGCCTTCACTGCGGTCGTCATTGGCCGTAAAGGACAGACCGCCCTGCCACGTCGCTCCTCTTTGCTTCTGCGAGCTCGGCGCCACCAGATCTTGGCCAGATCTGCCCTCCCCTTGAGCAACACCGTGACGGCAATGAGATCATCTTGACGTGTCCAAGCAGAACTGCATCGGAATCAGCTACAGAAAAGGCAAGAGGATGTGCGGCATTCTACTGATGCTGTTGCATCATTGGGTGATCATCATGCTTCACTCATGGGCAGCACTGGCAGCAGCATTCACCCACACGGCGCCAACAGTCTTTCGGCATCCATCTCGCTCATGGCGTTCGCGTCATCACCACTCGGTGGCTCTCCTTGGCGATAAGATGTTGGCAGCATTCTCGCACAAGAACGGCCTCAATCAGCGTGCGGCAGCAATGGGAAGCGAGGTGGACAGCGACTCTCATCGGGAAGGTGGGATGACTATTGATGGCTCTGGTGGCTTTGGGCTCTCCCTGGACAAGGCCGAGAAGGTGAGCGACGAAGAGATCGATGGCATTGTGAAGGCCATGTCGGAGAGCAAAGGAGGAGATCTCGAAGGCGAAAAGTACCAGTGCAGTACGGCAGACGAGGACCCGATTGTGAAGGCGCTAAAGGGCATTCTGGGATGCGAGCAGGTGACCTCATTCGAGCTACTTGATAGCAGGTGGGTGGGTGGTTTGAGAGAACAATATATATGTGCACATGATTTATGGCTGGTTGCCTATGTGGTTGCCTATTTCCCGTGTGTTGATGTCATGTCCGTCCGTCCGTCGGTCGTCAGATGGAATGGCAACGAGGCGGTCAAGTACATGACTGACAAAGGCCCCTTCTTCGTCAAGATGAACAGAGTCGAGCACCTGTCCGTCTTCATGCAGGAGGCTGTCAGCCTCACGGCCATCGCAAAGACCAACACCCTTCGTGTGCCCAAGCCGCTTCATGTGGGAGTGCTCCCAAAGGTACTTACTGCAAAGTCTTCGTGTGAGTGAAAGACAGTGAGTGCCCTGCATTGACTGTCGTCTGTCTGTCAGGTCGGCTCGTTCGGCCCTGGCTCATTCATGGTATTGGATTATCTGCCCTTGATTCCGTTCGGTTCCCTGCAAGCGGAAAATCAGAAAGCTCTCGGGCGGCAGCTAGCAGACCTGCACCTGGACGACTCTCACGATGCTGTTCATGCCGGGCGGTTCGGGTTTGTCGTCAACAGCTTCTTGTCGCTCACTCCCCTCAACAACACTTGGACGGACGACTGGTGCGATTTCCTGGCTCGGAGGCTGGGCGATCAGCTGCATGTACAGAGCACCTCCATCCGTCACAGAGCATACAGACATGTGAATGGCAATTTACCATATGGACCTCTTGTCCGTGTATGGTGTACTGTGCTGTGACAGGGTCTGTACGTGGACAAGGCCTACGGTCGAGCCCCACTGGACAAGGCCGGCGCCCAACCCATGATTGAGAAAGGCGAAAGAGTCATCGCCGCTTTGCCTCGCTTCTTCGCCGACCTTGACAGCGTGGCGCACGGGGGTTTACGGCCGTCACTGCTGCACGGCGACTTGTGGATCGGCAACACTGGCGCCACTGGTGAGGGACAGCCGACCGCCTTTGATCCTGCGAGCTTCTTCGGGCATCACGAGTTCGATCTTGCGCTGGCTTACATGTTCGGAGGCTTTCGTGACGAGTTCTACCAAGAGTATCATCGCGCCATTCCGCGGGCACCGTTGTTCGAATCGAGGCAGCTGATATACCAGCTGTACCAGTACCTGAATCAGCTGAACCTGTTTGGCGATCCGCGTGTCAAGGGCAAGTGCGAGGAGCTGATGGACCACATCCTATCGATCAAGGACCCAGCGTCGCCATTCGGCGGCAAGAGCAGCCCAATGGCATTAGGAGAAAGGGTTGCTACGAGAAGACACTGACGAGACACCAAGAGCCCACCTTTGCACCACTACCCCTCTCAGCACTGTCCCTGTGGTTCGATTTGCCTACTGGCAAGGCAAGGATGCACACACACTAGGGCTCTGCATATCTGCCTGTCTGCAAATGGCATGCAGACAGGACTGCGGGAGGGTAAATTATGGAAGTATGGATGGATGTCTCTCGTGTCTCTTCTGGTGTTGGGATGGGTGGAGTGTGCGTAGACTTTGATTGACGGAGAAACGAACGTGGACGGACTCGTGTGTGCACGGTGCGTGTGGCCGATGTGCGCTTGTGTGCATGTGCTGCCGACGCCATTCTGAACTCCCCCGTGTGTGTGTGTGCGTGTGTGTGTGTTGGATGCAATCACTTGATGGCGACCGACAAAAGCTGGAAGCATCGAAGGAATCCCCCTTCGAGGTGAATCCAGCATTCACTGTCACACAAGCACACAGATCGATGGCATACAGGCAGGCAGGCAGGCAGGCAGACGCGATTGAGCAAACAGAGGACAGAGAGAAATGCACACACAGATGCACGCAGACCACCAGGGCACCGCCACACCACCGCACTGAGAGAACCACAGCTAGGCCAACACACGGTGGACGACACCCCTTGAAACCACTGCTGCAGAACTTGGAATAGGTGGGAGTGAGTCGGTGAGAATGGTGAAGAGAGGACTCCGGGCGGGGCCAGTCCCGAATAAAGGATTAAGTCAATGCAAAGGTGTGAATTTTGTGGAAAGTCCATGTAAGACATGTAGTCTGCGTCAGGCCATCCTGTCTGACGTACAGGACAACAACGAAAGACTCAACAGCCGTCCTGGTTGGTTGGTTGGTTATTGTGTTTAACGAGACTCGTGTCTGTAACCCCGAGGGGATCCTGTCCAGGTCACGCACTAAACTAGCAGCATGCACATGCATAGAAGCATGCACACGGCCTGCCTCCCCATCCCACCCACCAACCCACTCGACACGCACGTGCCACCCTATGATGGTCAGAAAAATCGCTGTCGACACCGGTTGCAGGTATACGAGAATGACAATCAGACATAGGCACGACACCCAGAGGCTAGTCAGAGAGCACGTCGAGCGCCCTGTCTCAGAGATCGATATGTGGATGGTCGGTCTATGAACCCTAGGACCCTAAACCCTGGACCCTTGCACTTCTGAGAGAAAGCGCACAGGCAATTGCTTGCGGACCCAGGGCTTGCAGACCGCAACCGACGGAGATCTGCTGCAGATCTAGTTATACATACATGCCTTGCTGCGGTCTGAAGGCCCTGCTCGCTAACGCATTACTGCCATGCTTCGTCGCCCTCTGTCTGCTCCCGCACCCGACCTCCTCTGCACGCCTGCTGTCGCGTGACGGCGAACAATCTTCCCTGACGACTCGCGGGCCTTTGCATGAGGAGTTGGGCCTGGAGGTCCTCGGCCTCGACCTGAGGCAGGAGATGCCGACCAAGGTGAAGAGGGAGCTGCGGCGGCTCATCGATGAGCACTCCTTCCTCCTGTTCAGGGGACAAAACCTGACCTGCCACGAAGGTGGGTGGGTGACCCAGAGCAACTAACTTTGACGAGAGAAGGCGCGGGTGCTCATTGCGTGTGTGCAGATGCGGCCTTCATGCGGATCTTCCCACACAATGAGACGGCATACGAGCTGGGCGAAGGAACAGGAGGTAGCCACAGATCCGTCCGTGAAATGCACACATTCGTGGCTTCGTTGGTCACCTCTTGTGTTGTTCGTTGGTTGGTTCAGTGCCCCAGCCGACCGGATCGGCCCCCGAGGAGTGCGGGAGGCGGTGCCCACACATCGTGGTCAAGTTTGTGTTCTCGCAGAAGGACACGCCCGAGTACAGGAGGTTCTTCTCCGGCCACATGTGGCATGCTGACGCTGTCAACTTCGTGGAGCACCCACCCGTCTACACCGCAAGTGAGTGAGCACACCTTTCGTTGGCTAAGTGAATGCAATGCGTTGGCTTGGATGGATCGTCTGCCTGCTCGGTGTCTCTCTCTCTCTCTCTCTCTCTCTCTGTGTGTGTGTGTGTGTGTGTGTGTGTGTGGCGTGCATCCCCGATGCAGTGTCGATGAAGGCTGCGCCGAGCCGGGGCGGCGAAACGCTCTTTATGGACTCGCGCAAGGCGTATGAGCGGACACGGCCGGAGCTGAAGCGCATCATCGACACAGCACGGGTATGCAATGCACTATGTAATGCATGGGGACACGCGCATACAGAGAGAGAGAGAGAGAGGAGCGGTTTCTCTCTGTATGTCAGTCAATCAAGCGTTTCTCTGTTGTCTGTCTGTCTGTCTGTGTGCGCGTTGCAGCTGGAGTACTACCGAGTGGACTACGGCCTCGGCGCTGAAGTACATGACAGCGGCACACACCGAACGGACAATATGACTGAGACCCGCGCGAGGGCCCTGCAGTCGGACTCACCCCTCGCCGACTCCTCTGTGGTGCAGCCACTCGTGACTCAGGTGGGTGTCCCGACAAGCACACACATCCTCCCTCCCTCGCGCACACACCAATTAACACACACCAAAGCCTGCATTGCGTGTGTGTGGGTGTGTATGGGTGTGTGTGGGTCTCTCTGTGCACTCACAGGACCCCCGGACAGGCCGGCGGTCGATCTATTTGTCGCCGGGGTCGGCATACAGGTTTATTGGGCACACGCCTCAAGAGACCCATGACATCCTACGAGAGGTGGGTCGGTGGCTGGGCGGCTGGGCTGGGCGGGGCGGGGCACAACACTCACACACACACACACATACATACGACGTGGCGAGCTGAATGCCCATGTCTTGTTGCCTGCTTGCAGGTTTTGTCCCCCGCAATCTCCGCAGAGAACGTCTATGTGCATGTAAGTTAGTGTGCACACAACACCTGCCTGCCTCCCGTCAACTGTGATAATATGCGTGGTTCTCGTCTCGTCTCGTGTGTGTGTGCGTGTGTGCGCGTTAAGCAGCACTGGCGAGTGGGCGATTTCCTCCTGTGGCACCAGCGTCAAGTGCTGCACAGCTGGACGCCCAGGCACCGCTATGAGAGCCAAGAGAGACGATTAAACACCCTTTTTCTCGACGGACACCTGCCCGTCCACCCCGCCAGATAATAAACAAACAGGCGGCTTGTTGAGTTCGTCCTTGAGTGAGGGCTTTGTGTGCGTCTGGGGGGGAGGTGTATGTATGTTTGTCTGTTCTGATTTGTGTTTGTTTGTGTATCTCGCTGGCTTATTCTTCATCCATCCATCCATCGGCTTTGTACGTGTTTGTGGTGTGGCGATCCGACTCACTCTAGCTAGCAAATGCACCATCAAGGAGAAAGCGCACGGCACAGTTTTGCCCGTTTTGATGTTAGCTGTGTCGCCCAACACACGCGTGTGTGCGTGTGTGTGGTTGGTGAGTGCGCTCAAAGAGCGAGCTGTCGGGGTGAGAAGCACACGCATGCCAGCCTTGCCGTTCGTCTCTCTCCCTCTCTGTCTCTGTCTCTGTGCGCGTGTGTGTGTGTGTGTTTGACATGTGCGTGTGCGATGGCTGCACAAAAGGAGACCTCTTATAGCCGCCGAGTGGACCCATCGTCTGCGACGTTTGCTGAGCCGTTGGCGATGATGGTGATGCGTCGTTTCGGCGTTGGAATCATCTTGGTGGTCGGCCTGGCCGCCACTGTGCAGCCGCTGCTGGCAGCCCAGCCGCAGCGCAACGATGGCCGACGTAAGCCACAGGGGGACACACACGCACCAAACCGACCATACACCATGGTCTCTTGTCCATTTGGATGGCTGATCTGTGGCTGCAGAGGTGTTGGTGGGCAAGGGGAGCAATGGTCCCGACGACTGCGAGGGGAAGGACTGCAATACCGATACATACGGTGGGCGGCCCTCTCCATCTGTGAGATCTATGGACGTGTGTGGCCGTTCGTTCGAGTTGTCCGTCCGCTGTGTGCAGGTGCGTCGTTTGCCGGCCGTGGTGAGGGAATCCAGGCCGCTAGGGACACCGCCATGGCCGCCAACAAACACGGTGCGTCCATCTGCACCTATCTGTACACATGGCACCCTCTCTCTCTCTGTGCAGGTGCTGTGTTGGGTGCTGGTGAGTTGTCGGCATTGCAGCAGATCCAGATGGGCAAGGCCGTCCTGCAGTCGGCCAACAAACTCACCAGTGCCACCAACGATATGACGGCCTCAGCAATGACGACCATCCACAACGTAAAAGACCGCATCCGTGGCCTCACAGGTACACACACACACACACACACACACGAAGGCAGCTGCTGTTGGAATGCACCATCGTGTGTCTGTCTTTCTTTGCCCGAATGAATGGACGGGTGGCTGCAGCTGACGGAGCCGCATACGATCAGCCTCGTGGTGCCGCCACCATCATTGACTCGCAACACGTACGCGTGACCAGACCCACTGCACAGCTTTCGTCGTGTCTTCATCTGCATCTCTCTCTCTCTCTCTCTGTGTGTGTGTGTGTGTGTAGCCTGGCCGCAGCGGTGGGCGCTACACGTCGTACTCCCGTTCGAGCCGCACACAGGAGGATCTCGCCACGTCCACCAATACAGGTACATTACACACATACGTATGAAATGGATGTGTGGCGCCATGCACCGCATGTACATGTGTGAACGCAGCCGACCGGAAAATATGCAAGTTGGCGTTTGACGACCGTAAAATCGGTGTCGATGTTGATGCTGGCGAGGAATACTGGACGATGGACGGCTACACACGTACTCGCCAGCCGTGCGCCGAGGGCGAGATGTGTGTGGTCTACAGTGTTTCTTTCTTCGCCTATGACGAACCGATGGAAGGTTGGAGGAGCTATGATGATGATGATGATGCACTCATCGATCCCACCACCGGCGAGGTGAGCGAGTGAGTGAGTGGGCGGGTGGGTGACAGTGCAGTATGTGCATATGTGTGTATCTGTATCTGTGCAGGGCATCTGTATGAGCTCATCTCTCACTGGTTCCTGCGCCAACGGCAAGGTGTACGAACTCCCCGGGGGAGGCCCCCCTAAACAGCGCTTAAGATTCTGCATCACTCCCACACCGGTCAGTACACCGACGATACATATGCACCGACCTACAGCAAAATTGATCCCTCTATCTGTCTCTCTGTCTGTCTGTCTCCCCGTCTCCCTATCCTGTGTCTGGCTGCGCGTCTGTGTGGGTTAATGGGGTCTGCAGAAAATTTCCGGTTCCATGTTAATGATTTCCGGTTCCACAGAGCCCCTTTCGCTCGAGGCCGAGGGGCCCCTGGCCATTAGCTACAAAAGTGGAGACACAAAGAGAATCGTCTACTTCCCAGGCAGCAAAGGTACGCATGTAATGTCGGCATCCCCACACCGTCCTGCCATCTATCACCAAACTAATGATCTGTGTTGTCTGTCTGTCTGTCTGTCCGTTTGTTAGAGTACAAGCTGCCTTCGAAGTGAGTGGGCACCACCCGTCAGGGATACCAACACATCCACCCAACCACCCACGGCCTCAGTCAGTCTCCTTTCTTTTCTTTTCATTTTGTAACAAGATTGAGAGGGGGGAGAGGGGCGAGGGAAAGGGGGACGAGCGGATTCTGTCCCCTTTTCAATGAATTCAGTGCACTCGTTCAACCGATACAACTTCGCTTCCATCGCTTGTAAATCGCTTCAATGTGGGTCAGTAATGGCGCCAAGCCCTTAACTGACCCTCCCTCCCTCTCACAAACAAACATAACTGAAACAAAAACAACAAAACAAAGAACGCTAGCTGTATACACGCATCGCATCGGTGGTGGGGGTGCTCGGCACTGCAGGCAATGCAGGCAGGCAGGCAGGCAGGTGTGTGTGCGGGAATTGAAGGCCTCGCCGCTGCAGATTCATCCATCGGCGTATAAGATGTCTCTCTCAAGTGAGCCAGTCGCTCCGCACCCGTGCTTACTTGAGAGGTTTGTGTGGTCCCGGCGTCTTGCTGGCTGCGTGTGTCTGTCTGTGGTATGTTCAGGACCCTACTCGACCGCATCGATAATCCCGATAGCCACACACACATTCTGAATGCTCATCGTGTTCGCTTGCCCGGTGTGAAGGCAGCCATGCACACCTGGACTGTCTGACACGGTGACACCCCCATGTCTCTTCTCTCTCTCGCTCTCTCTTGTGCCGTACCTGCCTCTCGATTGTACGGAAGCGGCCGAATGGCTGGCTGGCCACTCACTCAACTACCTACCTGCCAGACAGGGAGGGATGGGGGGCGTGGTGGCGTGTCTTGCGCCAAGCGACACACAAACTGATTGACCAGCTCCCCAGCACGATTTTTGCTTGCGCACAGAAAGAGAGCCTCTTGTCTTCTCTGCCCCCATGCGATGCGATGCGTGTGCAAACCCCAGGTGGCTGTCTGTCTCTGCAGCGCACAGACACAGAAGAGAGAGATGCATTCATTGTGTCTCAGTCAGTCAGTTGGTGTCTCTCTCCCCACCCACCCACCTGCCTGCCTGCCTGCCTTGATTCTGTTTGATGCCGCTGAGGGAGGTGGAGGGACTTCAGTCAGCAATGAATAGACTGCACTGAAGTGGACGATAGCACGTCACATACGATGACGTAGACAATATAAAACCAACAGAACACATGGCAGCAGAGTTTCTGGTGCCCTCATTCTGTTTCATTGTGTCTGCAGTTAACTAAGTTTCGCAGGCCATTTGAGCTCTTGGGACGGACGGACGGACGGACATCCACCCACACAGAGCAGAGGTGTGAGGTGTGAGGTGCAGGTACGTTAGGTGCCCGCCACCTGGCTGTGCAGCAAGTACTTACTGTCTCTGTGTGCCCGCACCGCATGCCACCCGTCCGTCGCCTGCAGTGCCTCGCACGCAAAGCAATTCACACTTGACTGACACCCACTCAGTCAGTCAGTCAGTCGGTCACTCAATGCCCACCCACACCACCCACCCCCACCTGTCCTGTCCTGTCCTGTCCTGTCCGTCCAGCAGCCAGCTACATTAGACAGACACACAGCCACACATACAGTACATTCACACACGCAGCCACCGAGTCCACTCACTCACTCACTCACTCACATCAGACCACACCGTCCATCGATCGGATCGGCTGCCAAAAAGGACAGCACTGATCTAATCCATCGTCAATCTCACTCACCAGATAGATCAGCCAGCCACGCAGGCAGGCAGGCCAAAACGTCAATCCCCTTACTTTGTGTGTGCGCCACCCACTCCCTTACCCACCGCATGCACATACAGCGCAGCGCACCCACTCGCGCGTCAATCAGACAGACCCCTTCCTTCTCTCTGTATCTATCTACTTGACCCGGTACACACACAAGTACATCTGTGTCTCTGTGCCATAGGCAGGGTTGCCCGGCAGGTAGGGCTTCGGAGCGTCCTTCTTGACGACCGGCCCCTCGACCTCCTCCCACACTCCCGCATCCATCAGGCCCTTCATTGCGGCGCCCCACTTCTCGTACGTGTCGGTGCGGTGCGTCAGAATTACCAGCCCCCCCGGCGCACACACGCGGCAAAACTCCGATAAAGTGCCCTGCTTGATCGGTGGAACACACACACACAGCGAGGGATCAGAAATGTGTTTGTTGATCTATCCATCGTGTCAGTCAGGCCTGCCTGCCTCCCTCCCTGCCTGCCGGCGCACATCACATCTCCGTAGGTACCTTTGAGGGGTCGACGTATGTGAGTACGCCCAGGCAAGTGACGACATTGAATGCGTTATCGTCGAAGGGCAGCCTGTCCTGCAGGTCCTGCCGCAGCACCTGGCCGTAGAAATCCTTGGCCCTCGCGTGGACCAGCATGTCGTCCATCAGATCGGTGCCCACAGAGTTGCTCCCACTGATGCCCACAGCACTCATCTGCATGTGCACAACACAGTCAGATAACGATCCTGTCCGGTTTCTGTGAGCTGTACTGCGTCGATACCGACCGGTGCGACGGATTTGCCGGTGCCACATCCGGCGTCCAGCCTGCAATCAGTTTCCAGCACACACACATACACTCACAAGCCATGCCTCGCGACAGGCCTCCGCTACCACTTGACGGTGTCCATTCGCACGTCGGCGGGGAGGTACTTCTCGCAGGCGGCGGCGGCCAGTGCAGGCGCCTGGTAGCCGAAGCTCTCGATTGTTTTCTCATAGTTGTCGCTGTTCATATCGCCGCCGTCCTTCGTATAGGAAGATAGACCTATCCTGAACACATGAAGCAGCAGGCATCTTGATGTTCTCCTGTCAGCTTACCATGGGCCTTCTCCCTGGTTGGGTTCATTCGCAGTCGCCATTCTGGCCGAGTCGGCAGCACTGGAAAGTGATCTGTTCGGTTCTACGCCACTTTCGGATCTACGACTGGAGGACACTGTGAGAGTGTTCAAGCCACGCAAATCTCTCCTCTCCCCAGACGTGTGTTCCCAACCTCGCACGAACCGCAACAACTGCGTCGTCACAACTGGCAGGCGGACATCCCTAAAACCGCTGCCGCAACTGGATGTCACGGGGAATTGACTATTCGAAGTGGGATACTCTGGACGACAGCGATGATGATGAGGCGGAGAACACTCGTCCACCCCGCCACGAGCAGCACTCATCGTGTGCTGCGGCACCTTCCTGCAATGACCCAGCCAACACAACGGTAGCCGCCGAGAAAGGATAGCCAGCCGACATGGGACTGATTCTCATTCATCTTGCTGTGTAGATTTCGCCATGCAGGCAGGGCTGCCGAGCGTCGCGGCCGGAGGTAGCTCAGCTGGACTTGCACTCATCGTCGAGGTGTGCGGTATGCGGACGGTCGCCTGACGACAGTCGTCATCAGTTCCCGAGATGCAACAAGTAGGACGCACATCGAGGGATGAATTCATGATGACAGTCAATGCATCGGCTCGATGATAATGTTTTTCTTTTCAGGTGTAAGCTATTGCATTACTGCACCCGGGGTAAGCACCTGCACACAGAGAAGAAGATTTGATTCTTCTAATACTGTCTGTGGTGTCATAAGAGTGCCAGGTCAAAGATTGGAAGGGCGTGCACAAAGAGGAGTGCGAGATGGCCAAGGAGAAGCTGGACGCTGATCGCATGTACGCGCCGAGCAGCATCCAGTACATGCACGGATGGATGAGCTCTGATGGTAAGCGGTGCGGCATGCATCTAGATGGCATGAGAAGAGAATGATTGCTATCGTATCGTGTGTACTTTCAGAGTATTTCGCGTGGCAGCGCAGAAGGGAGGAGGCGCTGTTCAAGGACATCAAGGCACTGCACGCTAGCGGCCAGCTCGACTATATAACACTCAACGTCAAACGAATGACCGAGACCCACGTGGCGATCGGCATGTGGTACCGCACCACAGGCAAGTACACTGCCACCCCGCCGATCAACGAAGGCACAAGAATCCGCAAGCTGGGCACGGCCGATGTGCACAACATGGCCATCTGGAGGCTTTGTCTATTCTCCAAGATGCCCGGGCTTCGAGAGGTGCCAGGACAGGTTAACGTCACACCTGTGGACCTGATCATGCTGGAAGGCGTGGAGCAGCTTGTGAACAGTGCCATTGAGGTGAGCTATGCATGATGTGAATGTCATGAGACTGGGAAAGCGAAATTCAGGCATTGCTTGCTTTCGTAGGACATTGTCATGGCGACTGATGGCAAACGGGCGCCTTACTTTATCATTGACACGGATGTCAACCTTGAGGCGTTATTCTGGCGGAAAATCACGACCAAGACAGTGGATGTCACTCGCGGTGAGGGAATGGGTGAGGGAGAGCGAGATGGATGTGGTTTGACTTGCGTCTGCATGCTATGTTGGCACTTTCTACCGCTGCAGATAGACAGTTCCATTGGTTCTACCTCCCGTCCATCGCCGAGACCTGCCAAAGTGCCATCTTTCGAGCAGCCAAGCAACTATTCGGCCCGGCAGCGATGCTGCAGGTGAAGTTTGCAAGCAATCCTGCCGCGCTGAATCACAAATTCGTCACAACAGCTCCTCAACAGTTGCTCTTTCGGAAGGTAGGAGGAGGGAAGGACGGAAGGCTAGAGGGAAGACAGAAAGAAGTTGAAGCAATTGCCTTGTGAATGCGTTTTCCCTTGACTATCTGTGTGTGACTGTATGTGTACTTATTCGGAAGAGCTGGGAGAAGAACATCGAGTTCTTTGCGCAAACTCTCGAGCTGGACAAGGCCCTTCAGCCGTTCTATGAGACGAGAGCGAAAGAGGTACTCACTCACGCCCTCTGAGGACGTATATGATGTACATGTGTGAGCCTTTGGTTGTTCTTGTGGTGGTAGCGTGGAGTCTCTGTCAAAGACGTTGAGGCCGAGTTGATGGCTGTCGCGCTGACATTCTCTGATGTCTTCAGGTACGATATCGTCACTATCTCTAGTGCTGTCTCTTCACTGTTGTGTTTTCGGATGGAAGGATGCATTTGATTGACTATCTGGACGGCTGCAAGGACAAGACATTGTGGCGTAAGTCTCTGGCCGAGCACTGTCAGATGACTGATCAGCAATTCAGCCGTGTGGCTGCTGAACTTGCCGAGTTGAAGCCATCTTATCCAAACGACATCAAGAATGCCATGTCGATGCAGCGGTCGCAGATAGATCGAGACATGGATGACGTTATGGGCAAGAAGGTGAGGGTTGTGTTTTGGATGCGCTTGCACTCACCGCTTGTGTGCGTGTCCGTGTGTGCGTGTGTGGATGCAGGTGAAGCTGAAATGTGGTCATTCTGTGCGCCAGTTGGAAGGCATGCTTCGACAGAATGGCATGTTAACTGATCCGACAAAGGCACAGCAGTCGATGGTTGACTTGCTTCGCAAACTGATCTCAGGCGAAGTGAAACTAGAATAGAATAGAGGTGTAGTTCTTGAACACAAAGGGGGTAGGGCAAGAGATTCGTCCGTCCATCCCTCCGTCCTTCGTCCGTCATACGAGGAGGCCTTTGTGCGAAGGATTCGGACAAAGGAGGAGAGAGCTTCATAGCAAAACCGCAAAACATGCATGACCGATGGACGCACGCGCACATGCATTCTTGCCCGGCGGCCTCAAGACGACGTCCATTCGGCGAGTCGTGTGGCCGAAGATGCTCGGCCTCCATACGTCAGGACTCGACGATGGAAGCTGGCTGTCTGTGGCAGAGGAACCACTGAAAGATGGACGCCAAGTGGAAGTACGCACCTGAAATCACACACATCACACACACAATCCTGATGCTCGGGTCCTTCCTTTCATTCAGCTCGATGTGGTGCGCTCGGTGGCCTACTGGGACATTCACCGGAGGCTGTCAGCTGCCGAAAGGGGAGAGAAGAGGGCTCTTTTATCTTGTGTGCTCAGGGCGATTCTGCACCGTCATTCATCGCGCTTGCGGTACTGCCAGGTGAGCGGAGAAGGACAGCCAGAAGGCGCCACGCAGACAAGCACGAAGAGGGGGATAGCCTGTGCCTGTGCCTGCTGTTCTCACACAGGGGTTCCATGACGTGTGTTCCGTCTTCTGTGAGGTGTTTGGCTTCCCAGCAGCCTTCCACGTGGCAGAGAGGTTCACTCTGTATTATGTGGCTGACTGCCTCGGCGCACCATTTGTCGACGCTGTGATGCCGCTGCTGCGCCTCGTTGGCACTGTTGTCGACCAAGCGGACAGAGAGGTGGGGGAGATCTTCCGGCGAACCAAGATGGAGATGCAGTTTTGTGTCCCCTGGCTGATCACGCACTTCTGCCACGTCCTCCCGAGCTTCTGGCAAGTCGCCCGTCTGTTTGACTGCTTCCTTGCCGCTCCCCCCTGCTTTGTCCTCTACCTGTCGGCTGCTATCGTCCTCTCCCAGAAGGAGCGCCTGCAGAAGGTCATTCACCACAGCCACGGTGACGCTGAGGGAGAGTCGGGGTGCTACTTCGCCGAGATCCATTTTCTCTTCCAGTCCATCGATTGGGGGAGGCTGCCGCTCGAGAGAATTATCAAGAAGGCGAGGTATCTCATGGAGCATGTGGTGATCCCGGACCGGCTGATACGAGTGGCCGAGAGGCGTGGGATCTTGCTGCCCCCCTTCTCCCCCATTTACCACTCCCGGCTCCCTTGGTTTGTCACTCGGCACCCAGTTATCGTCACCCTGCCGATGCCAAGTCTGTCTGCGTCCCCCGCAGAGTCGGCAGCTGATGATGATGACGATGCGTGTCACTGTCTTAGCAAGGAGACTTCGGCGATTGTATCAAGGTGGCGGAGAAGAGCTGACACGAGCCGTCACCGTTTCCGACCGTTACTCGCCTCGACTGACGTCCGCGGCTTGTCGGCCTCGCGCCCTCCCCCCTCATCTCTTCGCTCGTGTTGCCCTCCCGTCTATCGGCACCCAAGCATGTGGGACACTCAGGGTCGCCCCGCCACGGCTGTCAAGCGAGGCCATGTGTGGGGATGGATTCGGCTGGCGACGTCACTCGGCACGCTGAGGGGCATCAGAGGGATGATCAAGGGGATCTGGTCCTCTCCATCAATGCGGCGGGCAGCGGCCGTGTTCCTGTTCCCCGTGCTGGTGGCGGCCTTTGTCAGGCTTTTCGTGAGATGAATGTGTCGACTCTCTATCTTTCGTCTCGTTGAATGTAACGTAGTTGTGGCATTTGAGGTTGTATCGACGCTTGAGACCATAGAGATGCACACACACACACGTGAATCATACAGAGTCAGAACAAGTACAGCGGGCGGACCAACATGCCTGAACCTCATGCGGCGAGCACTGGTCAACAAATGTGCTCGAGCTACACAAATAACGTCGACAGAAGCGCCACACATGTATACATCGGCTCACAAACAGTTGCCGGCATTCACGTCTCCATATGCACACTCCGATTTAACAGCGAAAGGACAGCTTCTCTCACTACACATGCGCGAACATTGTCGCACACTTGCTCCGGACGGGCGGCGCGCATCAGATCAGCCGACGGTCCTGAGTGACTCCTCTTCGATTCGCGCCTTTCTTGCCGCCCTCTCCTCAGCCGTCATCTTCTTGTTCTTCTTCTTGCCGGACTTCTGGTCACCTTTGCTGCCGGGTGTGGCATCGCCTCGCTGTGCTTGGCTGTCTGCCTCCTCGCTGCTGGTGTCCTCGCTGTCTGTGCTGTCGTCTGTGCTGTCGTCTGTGTCGTCTGTGTTGTCTTGGTCTTTGTCGTTGAAGCGAGGGCCCCTGACGAACTCCTGGCATTCTGGTGCCTCGGGTCCGCCCGTCTCGGCCTCGCGGGCATAGTCAGACGGCAGGTCGATGGGCTGGAAGCCGTCCTTGATGGAGCCCTTGATGGCCTTCCCACTGTAGCCGTTGGGGTACATATGACCTGAGCCAAGCAACCCACACACAACAGCGACAGGATTGACGCAGACAGAACCAAACGTATGTACGCACGCACCTCTGACGATGACGGTCGTGTCGTCGTAGACGCCGTCGACGGGCAGCAGTGTCTCTCGCCAGATGGGGAACTTGGTGTGTGGGTGTGTCATGTGGCGCTTGAAGAGCAGCCGCCCCTCCTCGTCCAGCAGCTCGTACCAGTTCATGTACTGGGTGCAGTCCTTGTCGGTGCTCGTGTACCGCACCTTCAGCACGTAACCACCCGAAGTCCCGTTCTTGATACCCAGGTCCAAGATGTCGGCGTGGGGCGGGCCTTTGTGCTTGCCCTTCTTCTTTCTCAGCACGTTGGCCACATCGTTGGAGGCGCACTCGGCCTGCTGCACCAACAGGAAAGCGCCAAGGCAAACAGCGGCGAAGAGCTGGGAGCGGGCCATCTGATGTTCTCCTGTTAGAAGGTTAGAAGTGCTTCAACTGGAGAGAGAGTGCTGCAACGGCTCAACGGTCAGAACGGCGGAGAAACAGGTGGGGGAGGCCAGAGAGCTCAGAAAGATCAGATCCGATCACTGACAGCCTCTGTCCTATTGTTTCTGTCCATTTGGCTTTTCTCTTCGGCCCCGCCCGCAAACCTTCCCTCGCCATCGCCTGTCGGGCCATGTGGGAAACTCGGCATGATGTGGGTTTGGATGGGCGGCACTCGCCCCACATCCATGAGCAGCGGAGCAACCAACCGCGTTCGCGACGCAGTCGGGGGATGGTCCATGGGTGGGTGACGGAGGAGAAAGGAAGCTCAAAGGACCAATCTGCCATGCAGAGGCAAGCAAAGCTGCAGGCACACCGATTGTGCGCCACTGAGTCTCGCCGAAGGGCCTTCAATCGCTTGCAACCTGCTCCTTTGCTTCTTTGTCATGCAGCTTCGGTTGTTTCATGCGCGGCGGGACAGCCCCTATGGACTTCTCGGTCTCACGGTCAACCAACGACATTGATGAGTTCAGGTATATGGCTGGGGATGCGATGGCGTGGAGGAATGGGGGAATGGAAGACTGCTTGGATGCGTCCTGCTGGCCCCATGACGAGTCACACACCGACGAGCTGTCGGATGCCTCTCAGAGGCAATCGCGAGACAGCCAGCGGACGGCGATCCATCTCATCCACAGCACCAACGACAACAGAGACACACTCAAGGGGACCAAGGACGAAAGCGATGGGTAGGGGGGACGAAAACAATGATAAGAATTCTGGCTGAGGGGAATCCGTTGTCCCTTTCCAGTTCTGATGCTGAGGCGTTTCCCGAGTTCCATCCGCCTCCCTTCCCTCTGCCCCTCCCCCTGCCCATCTCCTCCATACACGGCCACTCGGCCTCGAGCACCTCGTCCCTTTCAGTGCGATCCCTCAGCGAGCCAGAGGACACGCCAAATGCGGAAAAGGAGGACCTGGAGCAGCCGCAACCACCGCCTCTACTGTTCCGGAAGGCGAGATGCAAGAAGGACAACGAGAAGAGCACCAAAGCAGCGGCCATTGAGAGGAGGGCAGAGACGGCCAATCTCGAAGGCGTCTGTAAAGGCTTCGCCGACTCGCTTCTTTCCGTGCCAAAGAGGAGCGTCTCTTTCTGCACTGAGACGAGTGAAGAGAGCGACAGCCCGCCGGACAGAAAGAGCCCATCCCCGAAAGCCCAGCTGATCACGTCGACATCTCGGTCAACAGTCGGTGTGCCCGTCTCCGAGCTGACGTTGAGACCCATGAGTGGCGCGGGGGCCTTGGAAGAGGACAGCCTCAGCGAGCGCGAAGAGAGCCAGGAGCCGCCGCGTCCGCGGACGGCAAAGAAGAGTGGAGGGCCCGGCGATGGCGACCACCTCCCGTCGTCCCATCACTATCTGTACTTTAATCCTGACACGTATGGTACTTCTTCGCCCTATGCCGTCCCTCTGGCCAAGAAGGCCCCCCTGGAGCTGATCGCTCTCTCCCCAGGACAGCTCAAGCTGACCGCCAAGATGCCAGCGCCATTCACCACCCCCTCCCCCCGACAGCCTACCAAGACCGGCCTCCCCACAACAGCGACCACCGCCGTCAGGGGGCCGCCATCTCGCCGACAGCAGTATCGCAGCGCCAGGACAAGACCCTCGTCCAAGAGCTTCTCAGGGCAGCCGGCGAAGAGCAGCCACGGGCCAGCATCGACAAGGCGCATGAGCACATCGGGGGCGGCACTTGACTCAGCCCTCCAGAAGGAGACAGTCTCTCGGCTGACCGGCTTGCCCTCTAAGAAGGCCGGCACAACCGCTGCTCAGTTTGAGAGGGCAGCACGGTTATTGCGGCTGTACGGCCTGACGGACAATAGCAACAACTCCAATCGCTCGCCACATGTCAGCAGGGCTGCATCTCCGTCCACACTTGCACAATCAGGCCACAGCAGCAGAGGGGCGGTTGGCGGTGGCACCTTCCC